ACAATAAAACGTATACACTAGATTGTTGAAATAACAATAAAACGTATACACTAGATTGTTGAAATAACAATAAAACGTATACACTAGATTGTTGAAATAACAATAAAACGTAATACACCGAAAATATAGAGATTATAGATTGTGTTTTTGAAGCTATGATGTTAAGTTTTCAGGTGAAAACGCTAAATCATATTTATATTAAAGTACGCGTTCCTCTTTCATAAAATCAGCTAGTGATCATGTTAGAGATAGCGTAAAGTAGGTTCGTGTTTGTATTAACTACTAATAATAGATTCACCCGATAAGTCTCATCCACGCGCATGTGCAACTTAATATAAAAATTGTAATTCTTGCAGAGTGCAGGTGATGTACTGGATTCGAGAGGAGACTGGAAATCGGTCCAGAAACTGTGGAGCGACTCGCCAGATGAAGCCGAGTCCGTGGCAAGGACTTCCGAGGAGAATGTCGAGTCCACGGAGCCTTTTGCTGACGCCTCTGTCCACTCACCCGTTTTTGATGCTGATGATAAGTTGGTAACTAAAAAAGAGCCGATTAAACGCAGAGCCGATTCTTGGAAAGAAGAAAGAGCTAACCAAGGTTCTGAGATGGAGAGTTCGATCCCTGTTAAAGTATCGAAGACGGTCAATTCTTCTTCGAATGTCCAGTCACCTACTAATGTCTCTTCAACCCTAACCCTGAATGGTAAACGACCATTTCCGGTTACCTCGCCGGAGTCGGAAGCTAATATTCAAGCTGAGACAACATCTGTAAACAAACACAATGTTATAGTAAGTCCAGCTATTTCCACAGGAAGTCCAGCTGTTTCCACATTCAGCAACACGGTTACTGCCGGTCCCAAAAACACGGCGTCGAGTGTCCGCTCTGCTCAGTTTGGTGCCTCCGGCTTGGCAGTTAAGGGTGGTCAACATGCACGCGGATCGGTCAAAGTTCCTGTAAGTGGCAACTCCCCAGTATCACTGATAACTCCGCCATTCAAACAAGGAGATGTGAATGGGGCAGCTGTTGCCCAGCCTAATGGGACATCTTTACCTGGAGCGGGCAACAACTCGGATCAGGAAAACCATAACGAGGACGGTCAAACCCAGATTGTCACCAGTGGGACGGCTGTTCGGGGGAAAAGTCCCTTGGCTCCCGGCTCGTTGCTACAACCCAAGCACAGTAATAACCAAGTAACCTACTCCGGCAAGCCTAACACCAAATATGAAGATATCACTTCGGCACCCGAGTTTTGGCGTATCCAGAACAACCTAGTGGATCAGATCTTCATTACTGACGTCACGTCTAATCTCGTGACGGTTACAGTACGAGAAAGCAGAACCCGATTGGGCTTCTTTAGGGATAGGAACAGCGAAGAGAAAAAAGCTGAGCTTCGCGAAGAAAACGTCAAATGATAGCGTATTGGTGGTGTTGGTACGTGGCACCATGATGGCGGGCTATGCGTTAGAAAGTATGCAAACAAAACAAACGAATTTGGTGAAGGAGTTACGCACACCATCTTAAAAATTCATATTTTCAATTGGTTTTATTGTTGATGACGCGGGGTGGAAACACCGAACAACAACGGTTGCAAATCGATTTTCGTGAATTTTATGCACCTGTGAACGTTAACGAAAATATTGGTGACGAAACCGATTATGTAAATGAGGCCTTGATGTTTTTTGGGTGTTATTCAAACATTTCGGTGACTGTATTTTGTATAACAGAATGATGATTGTGGATGTTATATATTTTCTGTGACAATGTACAGTAGAGCAGTGTTGTGTAACCATCGGATAAGTGCGGCGTTTTTTCGACATGAAAGGTAGCGTCGGTAGTGGACACGCCCTTGGGTGACTCATTCACTGTAGACTAGCATCGTGATTGGTGCTTTTAGTTGAGACGTAAAACTCTCAATCAGAAATACAGCTTGAGCACGTGACTTAAGGCGGGCCTCAACGTGACGTCTTAGCTTCGGTATACCCTCGGGTCACGAGCTGCGATTGAAGAACAGAAAAGACAGTAAACAATCAATATCGTTAAGTGTGTGAGTGTGAGCAGGAGATATTCAAGATGATTCATGCAATGATTTTGGCAAGATGAGGCGACCGGGTGACTGGAATAATCTGGATGTGTACATTAAATTGGCTGTGTAAAAAAAAACCTAAAAAAATGTACAGCTAATATATATATATCTATAATATCATGTATGTACAAAAAAAAATATATATATATATACATTACTTCTTATCACAAATGAATTTAAATGCCTACTTTGTATATCAAACAGTAGTAACTTGTAGAAGACATTTATTATGAAGCTTAATGGTAATCTTAGGTTCCACTCATGCGCGCCCTCTATATGTAACTTTTTTCTGTTTATCATAATTACTTTTAAACATGATTTTTTTTTCTTGTATCAGTTTGTATTTCTAGCAAATAAATTGGAATTAAAAATCTTAACATCATAATTATCACAAACTTCTGTATTTTTGGGCTTAGCAAATTGTTGATATTATTTATTGAAAACCTTAAATACGGGCACTCGTCTGACACAATCGAGAGACTGTACTAGAGTTTTCTACAATGAACTTATAACCATTGTTAACCACGATATATATATATGTAGATGGTATTTTTATGGACGAAAATTAATATTTTCTTGAGGGACTTATATACCCTGGCTTGGCTTTTCACGTCATAGCTAACCTGTGTATTAAACTTTAAAATATTTTCCGTTGTACAATTCATAGCTTTCTCAATATCTCTTTACCGTTAAGCCTTGCTTGTTTGTTTTTTGCCATGTTCTGTCCTATGTTATTTGAATACAGTATTTAGAATAATCTTTTTTTTTAGTATTTAGAGATGTAATTAGTTTCTTACGTGGGAGTTATTTAAAAGTTCCAACAAAAATGGCTTTCTATTTTGTTGTTCTGACTCTTCTAGTCATCGTATTTTTGTGCAAAATCTGATTTTTGATACTGCACCTTCGCGTGTAATAATATCTAAGTAGATCCGTTGAATTAGTGAACCTGACTTAATATCAGTTGTGTGGATTTTTTAAAGCAGGGTCAGATCATGTCTCTAAAGACGTTAACGGATCGTCCTAATTGTAGTAATAAAGTTGAAGCAGACGCTGATTTTCCGTAATATGCAGTGTATATATATATATATATAGCAGCCAAAGTTCTGTGTACCAGCTCATAACCGATTAAAAAAAATTTCATAAAACATCGTAGTACAGATTGTAATCATTGGGTCCTGTTAACGTGCTCTACACACCAGGTGAAATAATGATTTTTAAACATCCGTAGAAACATTTTTATTTTCATGCGTTTCTTGTTCTTATTAAAGAAGTTTGTAATTAAGCACGAAGCTACACAATGGGCTATCTGTGCTCTGCCCACCACGGGTATCGAAACCCGGATTCTAGCGTTGTAAGTCCGCGGACATACCGCTGTACCACTGGGGGGCTGTTAAAGAAGTAGGCACGTGTTAAGTTATAAGGCATCAAATTTAAAATATTTAGAATCACCAGCACAAAAATAACTTTTTTGGATAACATTTGATCATTATTCCTAAACACTGAGACATTATGATCAAGTCACTATTTGATATCGTTATGGTAAAATTAAATATTTCTTTTTTTGATGCAATAAATTTATCGATCGTGAAATATATTTTTTTTTTTCTATATTAATGCATTGTCTTCACAATTGAACTGATGTTATGTTAGAAAATATATATACATTATTTTTGTACGATATTTAAATCTATCACAATATAAAAGTGATATCGGTGATATCTGGTCTTCAGCATGGTGACGTATTCTTGAATATTGAGTTTTAATGTGTTTTTCATTATAAACGTATTGTTGAATACCGGGTGGTAACGTGTGTTTTCATCATAAACGTATTGTTGAATACCGGGTCGTAACGTGTTTTTCATCATAAACGTATTGTTGAATACCGGGTCGTAACGTGTGTTTTTCATTATAAACGTATTGTTGAATACCGGGTCGTAACGTGTGTTTTTCATTATAAACGTATTGTTGAATACCGGGTCGTAACGTGTGTTTTTCATTATAAACGTATTGTTGAATACCGGGTCGTAACGTGTGTTTTTCATTATAAACGTATTGTTGAATACCGGGTCGTAACGTGTGTTTTGTAATATACCGAGTGTCAACATTTTCGTCCGTTTAATCACAGATGTACAAGTTATCGTTTTTCTACCGGAAGGAAGTACGAGTTTCCTCTTCTTCCAAATTTAGATAAACATGATCCAATAATCCAAACTGGAAGGGAGAAATGAGCTGGAACTTCTTATTTTATAGAAGGCAAACATAATTGGAAAGTTAAGTATACACGACATGGTGTATAAGAGATAAAAATTGCACTGAAGTTTTGGGTGAAGGATGATATTAAAACAGTTTACTCATACTAGTACATTCGATATGGAGACTTGATTGTAGTCGCTTCCTGGGCTTGTTCCTTTGATTTCAACTCGGTCCCAATAGATAATTTGCAAGAAAAAGTTATTATATAAATTCAAATCAAAAGTAGGTGGGCGTGGTTTTCAATGGCTATTTTCTTTTTACGCTGCTGGCGAAATTCAAGAGTTGACAAAACTAATTTAAATTGTTCCCTATGACGTAACGAGTCAATAATATATAATTAAGGTTTACAGCTTATCTGTAGTTCACTAGGTGGCGATAATGAGTTCCAACTGGTGTTGATAATGAATTACACAATTCACCTGGTGATGGTAATGAACTACCTAGCTCACCTGGTGGTGGTAATGTATTACACAGTTCACCTGGTGGTGATAATGAGTACCATAGTTACACCTGGTGGTGATAATGAATTACACAATTCACCTGGTGATGGTAATGAACTACCTAGCTCACCTGGTGGTGGTAATGTATTACACAGTTCACCTGGTGGCGATAATGAACTACCTAGCTCACCTGGTGGCGATAATGAATTACACAATTCACCTGGTGATGGTAATGAACTACCTAGCTCACTTGGTGGTGGTAATGTATTACACAGTTCACCTGGTGGTGATAATGAACTAGATAGTTCACCTGGTGGCGATTATGAAGCTAAATATTGATTACTATTTGTTGTTTTAATAGAAAATTGGTTAAAGGGATGAATTGATGAGATGTAGGAATCTTTGTGTTCACAGCATTATAGCTTAGTGTTGATGTCTTGACGCATCACGTAACTTTGTACATATAATAATTAAAATCATTATCGCCACCTGGTGAACTATCTAGTTCATTATCACCACCAGGTGTAACTGTGGTACTCATTATCACCACCAGGTGAACTGTGTAATTCATTATCGCCACCTAGTGAACTATCTAGTTCATTATCACCACCAGGTGTAACTGTGGTACTCATTATCACCACCAGGTGAACTGTGTAATTCATTATCACCACCTGGTGAACTATCTAATTCATTATCACCACCAGGTGTAACTATGGTACTCATTATCAACACCAGGTGAACTGTGTAATTCTTTACCACCATCAGATGAACTATGTAGTTTATTATCATCACCAGGTGAATTGTGTAATAAATACGTCACTTGATAAGTTACCAATAAGGATTGATGTGGCATACCGTAATGATAACTGAATGCGTATTTTTTGCCGAGTTCGAATAAGACGTTTTTTTGTTCTTCGAGGGTCAAACAGTTGTAAGATTTTGAGCGCGAAATTCCAGATTTAATTCACGAACACGATGCATGTAGTATGAATTAAATAAAGACTTTATTTACATTGGAAAATGATGTCTACCGATACACTTGCACGTTCTTTTCATCATTAAACTAGTGTAATCGTTATCTCATGATAAAACTCCTGCTACACCTATTACCTGTAAGATGAAAAACAATGTTGTCACTAGCGGATCAAAGGTCCCGTACGATATTAGAACGGAAGTCAGATACATTATTGCTGAGTTCAAGCACTTATCAATTAACAGCGTGAAATTTGTTGAAGGCGCTCTAACTTACAAACCGGCATTTTCTTTAAGCATCGTTATACTTTTTATGCATCTCCTCTAGGTGTCTATTAGTAACCCCTGGACTGACGTGACATTGGTTACCTAAAATGGGCTTATCGGTTTTCGTTTCGTGAGTCCTCAGATGAGTTTTAGATTGTTATGTAGTCGATGTGAAATGTTTTTTATCCCAAATGTGGGTATGTAGTAAATTTAGGTTCAAGATATAGGTGTGTGTGTGTATTTTTTAAACGAAAGCTATGTTATGGGATATATGCGGTCTGCCAACTTCGAGTGTCGAACCCCGATTTTTTAGAGTTTATAAGCCCTCAAACTTACCACTGAACCTCCGACAACTATTACAAACAAAACACAGACTTACGTAAATATATTTTTAAGAGGTGAATATTGTAAGTTGTGACAAGTATAGGAACCTAAGTAGTATTTTACTGTCCGGGCTTTAGGTACCTAAGTAGTATTTTACTGTCCGAGCTTTAGGAACCTAAGTAGTATTTTACTGTCCGGGCTTTAGGAACCTAAGTAGTATTTTACTGTCCAGGCTTTAGGAACCTAAGTAGTAGTTTACTGTCCGAACTTTAGGAACCTAAGTAGTAGTTTACTGTCCGGGCTTTAGGAACCTAAGTAGTGGTTTACTGTCCGGGCTTTAGGAACCTAAGTAGTATTTTACTGTCCAGGCTTTAGGAACCTAAGTAGTAGTTTACTGTCCGAACTTTAGGAACCTAAGTAGTAGTTTACTGTCCGGGCTTTAGGTACCTAAGTAGTATTTTACTGTCCGGGCTTTAGGAACCTAAGTAGTATTTTACTGTCCGGGCTTTAGGAACCTAAGTAGTAGTTCACTGTCCGGGCTTTAGGAACCTAAGTAGTAGTTTACCGTCCGGGCTTTAGGAACCTAAGTAGTAGTTTACTGTCCGAGCTTTAGGTACCTAAGTAGCATTTTTACTGTCCGAGCTTTAGGTACCTAAGTAGCATTTTTACTGTCCGGGCTTTAGGAACCTAAGTAGTATTTTACTGTCCGGGCTTTAGGAACCTAAGTAGTAGTTCACTGTCCGGGCTTTAGGAACCTAAGTAGTAGTTTACTGTCCGAGCTTCTACATTATATCTAACACATGAAATATCGTGAAAGTGCAGACAGGAATTCTTTTAACACATTAACGTCAATAAGCGACTACTATGTAAAAAAGTTTTTAATGCATTATGTGTTTAGTAAAAAGCTGTTTCTGAAGAAGTTGTAAAAAACACCTAGTAAACTATATTATTAATTTTTATTTGCCATTTGAATACACCTAATCAAGTCAAACAAACAGACTGATCCTCAGTCGACTTTTCTACAAGCAGGCACCAAACTCTTGTTTTGTATGAACTGTAGGAGTTGGTAGCGACAAGGTTAAACAGATGTTCACTTCAGTTACCATAAACACACAAGATAAAAAAAACAACTTTCAAACGAGAAACACATAAGATAAGTAAACGTTTCAAAATATAAACACACAAGATAAGAAAACGTTTCAAAATATAAACACACAAGATAAGAAAACGTTTCAAAATATAAACATACAGCTAAGGAAACTTTTCAAACGATAAACACAGAAGACAAGAAAACTTTTCATGCGATAAACATACAGTATAAGTAAACTTTTCATGCGATAAACATACAAGATAAGGAAACTCTTCAAACGATAAACATACAGATAAGGAAACTTTTCAAACGATAAACACAGAAGACAAGAAAACTTTTCAAGCGATAAACACAGAAGACAAGAAAACTTTTCAAACGATAAACACACAAGATAAAAAAACTTTCAAACGATAAACACAGAAGACAAGAAAACTTTTCAAACGATAAACACAGAAGACAAGAAAACTTTTCAAGCGATAAATACACAAGATAAGAAAACGTTTCAAAATATAAACATACAGCTAAGGAAACTTTTCAAACGATAAACACAGAAGACAAGAAAACTTTTCAAGCGATAAACATACAGCTAAGGAAACTTTTCAAACGATAAACACAGAAGACAAGAAAACTTTTCAAACGATAAACATACAGCTAAGGAAACTTTTCAAACGATAAACACAGAAGACAAGAAAACTTTTAAAACGATAAACACACAAGATAAGAAAACTTTTAAAACGATAAACACACAAGATAAGAAAACTTTTCAAACGATAAACACAGAAGACAAGAAAACTTTTCA